GTCAAGTTTTATTGAATTAGTGCTTGTTAGTGAGCTCCAAAAGTCAGATTTGCTGTTTCCAATTTATCTCCACAGTCAGTGCCCCATCACCATACCCAGATTGGTGCAGCAGCACCTAAGTTGCTCTACCTGCCCCCAGATATCTCCTTCCAACCAGCCTGTTCACTGCTCACTCCTAAACCAATCATTTTAGAGCTACTTCCATCAACTCTGAAATGCAATTTATAAGACTGTCTTTCACTTGGACTGAATTGAATTGATCTGGAATAATTTCTCATCACAAAATCATATTTTTCCTATTGATTGAGATTGTTCTCTTCTATCAAGTTTGGGTGCTATAACAACTCCTTATTCTAGATAGCAGAAGGGAAAAAAGCCTTTTTTCTGCCCCTACCTGCTTCAAATCTATCCAATTTATTTTTCTGTTGTTCCTAGAGAATTACTTAAAATATGTGCTATACCACTATATTCACTACATGGCGATATGTAGCACATTTTATTCTTTTATGCATTAAAAGACTGATATGGGGGCTCACTGATAAATGTATATAACGATTTCTCTCTCATTTCCTGTCAACTCTCAACCTTCTTAATTGGAAACATAGCAGGTTGCCAGGAATTTCTTGATTACTTTATGGCTCAACTTGAATTTAGAGCATCATAACCAAATCGTCCTCCAGTACTACAAAGAGAAATAGTTCAGTAGCCACTTCATTCTGAATTTCTCCTGCTGGAACACCTTCTCTCTTCCTGCTCCTTTCCCCAATAAGTTGATTTCTACAGAACCAAATCCTACCCATCTGTCAAGGCCCAACTCAAATGCCATTTCATTCACAAAACCATATCTGATACAAGTTCTGTGATCTCTTATGTCACTAATTGCTTTCTGAATTAATGGTAGCTCTGGGGATGGGGGTAAGTTTTCTAATTTACTGTAGAATACNCTAAAGAACCAAGCTTCTCAAATTGCAGGATGCATATGAATGGGACCCACAATGGGAAATGCATTTTCTATTGCTATTTGTGTACATATGTACATATGTACACATATATGTACATCCTTACATGTATGTATGTGTGTAAACATATAAATAATTTACATAAAACAAAATTTATTTCTATCACACATAGTTATGCTAATGTTTTCTATTGTATTCTATTTAATTAAAAATAATAAGTTTGGTCATGACCCACTGTATATATATTTGGGCAGTTAATTACCTAAATATAAGGGTAATTAATTTTTTTAATAATTTAGACTAAAACAAATGTGGTGGTATGATACGATAGAGTAGAATGCAAAATTCCCACAATATTAAAATATAAAACCAGAGATTTTCAAAGAAATTCTGATGTTTCAATGAGTCCCTTTATCCTATTCCCCACATCCCTCAGGGGCTAGTTCCTCCTTCACTGCTCTTAGTGCTTGACTCATAGGAAAGTTTGGGAAGCACTGATATAGAGCAGTACTTCTCAAAGAGTAGTCCTTGGACCAGCCTCATTTGTGTCTCTTGCAAATTTGATAAAAATGCAAAAGTTTAGGCCTTACCTCAGATGTTGTGAACCTGAAACTGGGGATAGGGTTAAGGCATCAGTATTTTAACAAGTTCTTCAGATGATCCTTATGTACACCAAAGTTTGAGAAGCACTGACATAGAGAAATGAGGGATTAATGAGTCCTTGACCATCATCGTAAAATCCATTTCTCTCATCTGTGCTTTTGAAAGTAAGTGAGGAATACAGTGGAGGCAGCACCTCCCACTCTCATTGCCAAGATTTCATCTCATTTCATCATCCACACCATATCTAATTTTCAACAATTAAATTTCAGGGAAGCCCTTTTCTGCATCCAGTACAACATCCGTTCTTTCATGAATGTCAAACACTGGCCCTGGATGAAACTCTTCTTCAAGATCAAACCCCTGCTGAAGAGCGCAGAAACTGAGAAGGAGATGGCCACCATGAAGGAAGAGTTTCAGAAAACTAAAGAAGAACTTGCCAAGTCAGAGGCAAAAAGGAAGGAACTTGAAGAAAAGATGGTGACACTGTTGAAAGAGAAAAATGACTTGCAGCTCCAAGTTCAGTCTGTAAGTTCAGGCAGTAGCATCTTGGGCACTGCTAATTGGGATACAAGTGCTAGAACGCTGGCCACTTGCAATATTAAGTTGGGTAGTCAGTCTGGGAGATTCCTACTGCCAGGAGAAAGTGAAAGCATTGTGATGGTACTGATAAAGTCCTTATATTCATCCTTTCACTGCCCAATAAACACCCCAAACCAGCACCTGGACAAGGAGATAGAGCAGACTGCTGTCTTCCATTCTACACAGTTTCATCAAACTACAAGTTTTATGGTTTCCTTTCCCTTTGAAGACCACCCTTGAAAGTGATTTTAACATGAATTTACCCCAAATAAAATATTAAGGCAGC